TTTCTAGACAGAAGAGCGGCACCACCCCAGGAGGGATGAAGACCAATAGAACTGCCAATAACTAGAGCACTTTGATCAGGTTTCTCAGTGGGGAGAACCTGTTTGATGTTTTGATCGGAATGGAAGAGCGGTGTTTTGACACACTAAAAGTAAAGGAGACCGGACACTGAATGAACGTAGGAGACAGGCATATAAAGGAGCAGAAATGAGGAGACTAAATTAACACAGGTGGAAACTAATGAATGATGATTAACTAAATAATTAGAACAGGAAAAGAACCAAATAAGGACAGACAGGAACTAAACAGAAATCGACACGTGACAATAGTATTCCCACTTTTTACAAAATATAACTGTAATCTGAGTACTTAGTTTTTTGATGTAACTGTAACGGATTACACATTTAAATTATTATAACGCCATTACATGTATTCTGTTACTCCCCAACCCTGGCTCTGAGTTCAAACCCCTGTGTATGTGAATGATGCAGATGTACATAAATGTGTGTTTGTGTGTTTATAGTGTGGATCATGGAGGAGAGATCATGATGACAGCAAGACCACGAAAGTGTAGAACTACAAACACACACTTCTACTGTGTCTGTTGTGTTGTGTTTTTCTAGGTGTCTGTTGTGTTGAGGGGTTTATTGGTGATTACACTGGGCCTGAGGATAATTACTCCTCAGTGTCTCTGTGTGAGACTTAAACGCTTCCTGTGAGAAAGATATGTGCTGAGTGAAAAAAAACTCAATCTTTTACAAACACTACTAGAGAAAATATTTGGATAACTATTTATCTTAATTAGTTTTTACTAAACTGATTATTACTGTTTTTTTCCTTTAATAACCACTCAGGCAAATCCAGTGTGAGTGTAACTTAACCCAATACACGCAAATTCTGTTTATGGCTTATGTTTAAAATAAGGTGTTTTTTATTATTATTTTTAATACATCTGGGTTTTCTGCTGGAAGTCTTGGTATTCTGTTTCCATTTTAAATTGTTAATCTGCTTAATGTTTAGCGATCACTTTTAGCCTCGCTCATCTGAAGTGCTGAAGACCTGCAAGAGTCCAGGGGCCTCATTTATAAAATCATCCTACATTTGATCGAAGATGATTTTCAGCTCTGCAAAAACCACGTGTACGCCTCTCTTCCAGATGTGAACTCTGTAAATAGTGTGCAGTTGAATGGTTTTAGATCTCCATCTTGTAAATGCGCCCTAATTAATATTAGCATATAATAGAGCACCAGTCAACATCCAAATCCTTTAGTTGAGAATGCCGAGCGAATGCACACTCTTAAGATCAAATCTGTGCATACGCATGTTTTATAAATGAAATCTGAACAAACAAAAGACACAAGAGTAGTGTTTGACATTTTTAACATCTGTGTGTAGTATGTCTGTGGCTAATTATTTGATGTTTGTTTGTAGAGTTACTACGCAAAAATGCCATTTTTAGAAGTTTTGAAAGAAGTGTTTGCTTTTGCATGTTGTGTGTGTTTTGTGGCTTTGTGTGTAGAGTTTTGGAAAATGGAGCCATAGTTTCAAAAACTGTGTGTAAGCATTTTTTTTATTGTAATGCACTCAGAAATACTAAACAACTCATTCAGGTTCAATAATAGTTGATCTTATTATTTAATAACCATAATATCAAAATCCATTACATTGATTAATTTGGGAACAGAGCCGATCCTCCCTATATGCAAAGTACGTAAGCTGCGTAGGGCCCCCGAAACACCAGGGGGCCCCTTGCTCTCAAAGAGGATTTAATGTCTCTTGCACCAGACAAAAAAGAAAGAAAGTTGAAAGCGTACCGAGCTGCGGAGGAGACACTGTTTCTCAAGTGCTTTCCGTGAGTGTGATTCGAGACGGAGTGAACACGGACAAAGGCGTTTCATTCATTCATAACCCCCCCCCGACACAGTTTTGCGTAGGGCCTCCAGAAGTCTAGGATCGGCACTGTTTGGGAATATTTCATTCTTTCAATAGAAGATTGTAAGGACCTTCCTGCTTTAGCACATTGTGAATGTCGGTGAAGAGATTTGATGTGACTAATTTCATAGAAATATATTGGTGGATTTACTCTCTTAAATAGTTATACTTTCTATTCTTCACATTGTTTTCAGGGAGGAATAGGATAGGATAATTTACGTGTCATATTTACGTGGTTAAGATGGCCTGCATATACATTGGATTAGTATGTTTTCTAATCAGGCACTGAATGGAGTGCACATTAAAGGTCCTTCCAGCGGAATGAAGTCGCGATGAAAAATGTATAACGTTCAGAATTAGGTAGGAGCATAACAGAATTTATGCTGCAGTTTTGGGAGGGACAGGTCTGTATAAAGGTATTTGAGTTTTTTGTTTTCTCTCTCCATGGGGGCTGAATGTGGAAATGGAGGAGCTGAACATGCAGCAACGGATGAAGCTTCGGCCTTTATGTGCTTTATGTGCTGCAGTCTGGAATTAAACCACATCATGCTGGTTTCGTCTGGCCAGAGGAGAACTGGCCCCCGACTGAGCCTGGTTTCTCCCAAGGTTTTTCCTAATTTCTGTCAGCGATGGAGTTTTGGGTTCTTTGGCTTGTTTAGCTGGGGACGCTTGACTGATTGCACAGACGCTATTGAAGAGAGCTGAACTGGATGATGACATCCCTGAATCATGAACTGACTTTAGCTGAAAAATGACTCTGTTATTATCTTCTTGCATTACTGACAAACTATTTTCATGTTTGACGTTGTAAAGCTGCTTTGACACAATCAGTATTGTATAATTGTATAATTTGATTTGATGCTTTTTGCACAATACAATGACAAAGACTTTCTGTTCCTCATTTGTACTCACGTCAAACTTTTGTCTTTTCCTCTTCTACATATAATGTTTAATATGCTAATAAATTAGGCCTGTGTGTGATTTTTCATTGCACCATTTTTGTGTGTTCCTTGCAAAACATCACAGACATGCACATTGTTAAAAAACACAAATCCTGCATAATTTAAAAAAAATATTACTGTTATTGTGTCATGAAATGCAGTTCTAAGAGT